CTTCTTGGCAAACTCATGGCACCTCCAGAACCACAGAAAGTTCCAGTGAACTGCACTGGCCTGGAGGTTCAGAAAGTTGACCTCAGCAGACAGAATCTAGAGGGGGAGGCATTAGAAAAGTCAGTGTAGTTAGCACCAGGCCCCTGAAATACACATTTTGTGTTCTAAAAACTCTTGCCAAATCCAGAGGACCTTGTAAACAGAACAAAGAGAAAACATTTTGAACAAGTATTACATGATGGATACTAGAGTTTAGGAAAAGTTAAATAACATAGAGGAGAAAATGTCTCTCTGCCCATGTACTAAGTCATCTTGAGACAGTTGGAGACCATGGTGTCTCGGTGCTGGGACTGACTGCTGGGATAACAAAATAAGCCCCTCGGCACAGTAAACTATTTGTAGCATGCCATGTCTCTATAAATCTACCACAAGATCCTGCTCAAACCACAGGAGCAGAATGTTTGCATGGGATGGGAAATTGTTACCAAAAAAACTTTAAAGAATTCATCTAGTTTCTTTTGTTCTTTGGCAATTCAAAACACAACTGGGCAATACATTATTAATTTCCCAATAGCTTTGCTGTGGAGAGCATTTCTGATGTGGAGGTTATGGTTATGTTTGTCTTGTTTACTTTTGGGAACCTGAAGGCCACTTTTGATCATAGCACTGAATCTTCATTTGTGCCTACAGATATCTTTAAACTGTTTCTGTCCCTTTGCTGCCTTAATCCTTGAATCAGAGTCTACTCTGCTCTGAACATACATGTGATGATCAGTTCAAAAATGTTTCTTCTGAGACTAACATAGGATTAGCTTGGACTATTGCCCTACAAAGCTGGTATGTGTTTCTTCCAGCCCAGTCTTGTGTTTTTTCAGAAGTTCATGTGCTGAAGGTCCTTCAGCCCTATCACAAGGCCAGGCCATTTATGCAGGATGGGGACATCAGTGTAAAGAGCAACCTACTGTCTCCTGAGTGAATCTGTTAGTCCTCAAAGTACAAAGCTGGGATGCTTTGCACAGGATGATGACATCTAACATATGAAAATTCAACGAACACTCTCTAAAACAAGTTGACCGTGACCACTTTGATGTCAAGTCCTTCACAAGAAGAAGCATGTTTTGGAAGCTTTTCCCTATCCAGTGGGAATGACTGAACTTTAGCCCAGTCTAATTTTCCCATTTGTTCTGAGAGCGGCAGCTTGGTCATTCTCTCAAGTAAATGCTCACCCAATACACCCTAAGCCCTTTAAGGTTTTAACTCAGCAGGAGAATGTATACTTGAAATGTGTGGCCCTGGCTCACTTGTACTGTTTCTGTGTTTCTGTTCATTTTTATTGTCTCCCCTTTTTTCTGATATCAAGCTGTTCCTTGAAAGACTGGTCATGCAATGAAATGGAAAAAACCTGTGATGTTACTGCTATGTTCTTTACAAACCTCCGTCTCTGCAGTAATGCACTGTGGAACAGAGCACTGTGGAGGGCTGTGTGGCCCAGCTGGCCACCACTGGACACTCGCACTATTTTGTGGTGAGCACATTACTAGCCCATTACCACACAACCTGATCAGAGGTGCTGTTCCTGAGTATCCTCCTGATCAGAAGAGCTGTTCCTCGTCTCTACCCTGAATTTGCTGAGCAACATAGATAAGGATGTGACCCTCATGGGATTTTGCCAAATGGCAACAGTGGACCTTTCCATGCTCATTGTGGGTCTTCCTCACTGGTAAATTAGAATTAACCTTAGCCTTCCTTGCCCTTAACTTATTATGAGAGATCCTAATAAGTCTCATTGTTTACAAGCCTACTCTGCTTAATTCAGTTTTGCCATCATGGCCCACTGGCCCACTGTAACTGGGCCATGGATTAGGCCTGATGGTCTTTTTTTTTCACCAAGGAGTGAACTCACGACCTCGTGCTTGCCAGGCAAGTGCTTATACCACTGAGCCAAATCCCTGGCCCCAGATCTTTTATTCTTACAGAAGCACTGGTTTCAAAACAAACAGAAGTGGCTGGGGGTGCCTTGCTATGCTACTCAGTGTTTTCATCCTGATTCCACTAGGCAGTAGCTTTGTCTCCAATGGTTGTCTCTTTGGGAACATTCAGTGGGGAATCTCCAGAGAACAGGGCCAGATTCCTCTGGAAGCTGCCACATCAGGTGCCACTGTATCCCCAGGTGGTCCCCATCAGTGGCAAAGTCCATGCTGCAGGCCTCTCTACTTTAGACTCATGGGGAAGAGAGACAGTGTGCATTTGACACTGTATATACCACATAGTTCTGGGGGTGTTCTTGACTTCCTGGCCTGCAGGCTGGGCCGATTTCAACCTTGCTTCTCCCTTTGGAATGTCCCACACCTTGCCCATTTTCCTTAAACACAGAAGATGTATTTTATCTTTGTTATAGTTCTGGTAGAAATGTTTTAAATAGCACATGCTGTTTAAAGAGAAAATTAAAAGAGAAACCAACCAAACCCTATGGAATGCTGAGTTCCATACAAACAATTTACAATCAGTATGGTCATAATCTGGCCAAGCTACCATAATAGTGTTCCTGAAGTGGTGCAGAGTGAGTGTACAACTGGCTTGTCATATTTGTTATTTTGGTGTGGATATATCTTTTTCAATTTTGTTGGTACCATCATGAATTCTGGAATATTCTTTGTAAATTTACTTCCTGGAAGAAATGACCAACAGCCTGCTGGACACTTCCAAGGGTCATGCTTCAGTGCAAGTACAGCAAGTAGATCACCTTCTTACCTTCAGGCAACACTATTTTCTCTTGTTTGTTCAAGAGAAAACTGAGGTACAGAGAAGGGCATAATTTCCCTCAAGGCTGAATGCTTACAGATATAGGCTGTGGACCAGCAAAATTGCCAACACTCCATATTTTCCTGTTTCCCCATTAGACCAAAAATCATGAAAATAGATAATGCAGGGTCAGTTGAGTCTCTCACCATGAACACAGGGCGCCAGTGTGGCAAGACTGTATAGGCCCTAGACTGCCCTGAACAATGACAGCCGAGAATTCCAGGCTTTCCAATCCTGCTTCTCTCCCAGCTCTTCTCACTCACCCCTGTCTCTCAGGCTGATATGTTCCTTGCCCAGACTCAACTCAGACATTCTCAAATACTGTGGTGGGGGGAACCAACATACTTCACCATCTCCGTAGACCCAGTCACAGCAGACACCAGAGAGCCAGTCTATTTGATCTTTCATCAAGGCTAGATGCTTCTGCAGAATGCTCACAACAGGCAGGAAGGATTTTCTGGTCTTTCAAGAACACTGTACCTAGCTAGGGATTCTGGATTATCACTCATGGGATTCCACCCATATCACAGGACGGGTTACAGTTTGCATGAGAGAGAAACAAGATCATGGATCACACATCCCCAGATTCCAGCAAACTCAAGTGCTCTCATCTTCTGTCCTGAGATGCTGGTGTTCCTGACTGGTTCCTCTATAAAGACTTTCTTAACCTGTTCGCTTGCAACACTGGCCCTGGGAAGCCACATCCTTGACCTAATGGTGTACATTACCCAGGCATCTGTGCTGTAGGCTTAGATGCCACATTATCATTGGCTAGTCCCTTGTCCTCAATCTTAACTGTTACATGACCCTGCTCACCCAGTCTGAGTGCTCTCGATACTATCGCTGAACATGCCCATGGTGGCTTGGTCCAGACCCTATCAGGGCAACCAGGTTCCTGTGGACAGGCTCTGCTGCTTAACAGTTCCATCCAAGATTACCAGTGAGAGTCCTTATGTTGATCCCGCCAAGATAAGGGACTGATTGCTACAGAGAGCAGAACACAGAGTGTGCTTCTCACAAAGATGGGCTTCATGTCGCTAGCTATGCTGTGGCAGCTATACCAGGAGGGCATGCAGGATGCATCCCAGACTCCCCAGTACATTTGTTTACTCCTGTCTGGCAGATGTTAGGTGTCACTTTAGACATGCCTGCTTTTTCTCAAACACAGCTTTGTCCTCCCTCTGTCTTCCTCTAGCCTGGGAGTCAAGGAGTCTCTAGTGGTCACAGGGCTCAGCCGTCCTGAAGTATCACAGCATTATCACAGCAAGAGCCTTAGCAGGCACAGATTCATGCTCCTGAATTCCAGTACTGATGCTCCTGGAATCTTGGCACCCACTCAGTCCTTGAGTGGCTGTGTGGGAAACCCCTCAGACCTTGTCTCAGGTAACAGACTTTCTGGGTAGTCCTCAGATAAAGTGTGATTATGTTTGGAAGAGAACTGTGTACCCTGAGCCAAAACAGAGAAAGAAGAAGAGAAGAGAGGAGAGGAGAGGAGAGGAGAGGAGAGGAGAGGAGAGGAGAGGAGAGGAGAAGAGAGCTCAGCTGGAGCACCTTGGAGTTTGCTGGGTTACTCAGATATGCCATGGTTTTCACTGGGTTCAGTCATAACAGTCCAGGGCCTTAGACAGTGGTATCAATACCTTGTGGGGAAATTCCCACCATTTTGGATTACCAATTCTGTAGTGAGGTGGGCTATCAGCTCCTAACGATCTCTGTGTCTATACGACCTTGAGGATGAGTCTCCCAGAAGTGTGCTTGGGCACAATCTACAGAGGCATCATGGACTCAAGTTCTGGAAGATAGGGGGTCTTGGGGCACATGCTTTTCCATGATCTGGATACTTTAAATATATGCTGCCATGTGGAATGTTCCCTGCTTCTGAATGTGACATCTATAGCTAGGTGGCGGTTAGGGTGGTCCTGACCTGCTTGTGTCTCTGGCTGCAGATCTTACCACACATCAGCTGACACTTTTGTGAGCAGCATTCTAGTACAAGCACTCCAACCATTTTACTTGTTGATGTTGAGTCTGGGTACCCTGGAACCCAGATAATGAAACAGGGCCTCTTGTCAACATCAACAGCCAACACCTATTATAATTTAAGGGCCAATTTAATGCCACTTCCTGAGTGTCCCCTCCTCCAAGCAAGAAAAGGTCAAACCCCTGCCCACTTCCTGTGACTGCAGGATAAAGAGGTGTGGAGGCCTAAGGAGTAGGAGTGTAGATGACTGCCATGGTAAGGGCCCATTGCTACTGCGCTCCTGGTGGCTCCGGCCTTCTCTATCCCTTTCCTGGCAATCCCATTCCCTGCATGCCTCTCTCCTCCACAGATGCTGAGCCTGCTCTTTGGGACACTTTGCCTCCTGGGGGGCTCTTTTGCTAAGCCCCAAGGTGAGTCTTGACCCTTCTCTGGAGGCATCCCTTCTCTGGAGGCCTCTGCAAGCCCTGATTCAGGCTGCTGAGATATGTGCCAAAATGTGCAGGTTAGCTGTGTCAGTGCAGCCTTCCTGATGCTTTACATATTACTTCTAGCGCTGGCCATCGAGAAAGAGTTGGTAGATATTGTTGGTGGACACAATATCCCCCTGGGGAAGTGGCCTTGGCAGGTCAGTCTGGAGGTGTACAGTTACCAATCGGCTTCCTGGGAGCACAGATGTGGTGGTTCCCTCATTCACCCACAGTGGGTGCTGACTGCTGCCCACTGCATTCACCCGTGAGTATTTCTGCTGTCCAGTTCTGGGTGGGAAGTGGTGTGAATGAAGGAGGTGTCAGTGAGGGTTTTGATACTGGAGAATCAAGCTCTGACTCCAGGTGGTTCTGAGCCTTCCTTATGGTGCTAAGCATGGACCCTATAATGAGATGCTGTTGGGACTTCTTTCTGATCACAGTAGAAATGACGACCTGTCAACCTATGGCATCCTGACTGGGGACGAATACCTCTATGGAGACCAGAACCTTTTGAGTGTGAACCAGATCATTGTCCACCCAGACTTCATTGGTGCTGAACTGGGTGCAGATGTAGCACTGCTACAACTGGCAGAACCCATGGACAGTTCTGCCAACATGAAGCCTGTCAAGCTAAACTCCCTCAATCATGAGATCACCCAGAAGGATGAGTGCTGGGTGACAGGGTGGGGTGATACAAGATTTTATGGTAAGTGTAAAGGGCACTCTTGATATGTTCCCCATGAGCCTTAGCAGCTGAGGTTTAGGCAAGACTGGGACATGAATTTAGGACTGAGGGCAGAAACACTTCATATTATTTGCACAAAAAGGAGGCATTTTTTGACACAACAGGACACATAGCTCCCTTATTTCCCTGGTCCTTTCACCTGTTGGTAAGATATTAATGAGTAGAAACTCAGGATCTAAAAGGACATGGAGCAGTACATTTTGGGTCTCCCACACTGTCTTGCAGTAGGGAAAGTTGGGGATGACAAGTTAAAGTGACCTGGAGAGGGTGCAGCTGTCATCAAACCAGACTATGGTACCTCCTAGGAATAGTCACTTGGGGTTGGGTGGGAGCCTGTGCCACCAGCAATTCTGCCACCATCTGCTTTCCCTTTCCACAGGATGGCTGCCACCACCCTTCCGCCTGCAGCAGGTGAATGTGCAGGTGGTTGAGAACTCTGTCTGTGAACAGCTGTACCAGAATGCTACTAAGCACCACCACAATGACAGGAAGATCATCCTAGATGACATGCTGTGTGCTGGCAGTAAGAGACATGACTCCTGCCAGGTGAGTCCCATCTGTCCTTATCTTTGCCCACCGCTAACATCCATACCAGAAAACCAGTATTCCTCATCTCCTTTCATCCTCAGGGTGACTCCGGTGGCCCACTTGTCTGCAATGACTCAGGTTCCTGGACCTTGGTGGGAGTGGTCAGCTGGGGTTACGGCTGTGGCTCGCATGCGCTTCCTGCAGTTTATGCTCGCGTTCAGTCCTATGTGTCCTGGATCAGGCAGCATATTCAGAGTTCCTCCTGAGCCCAGTCTACTGGCCTCCACTGGTCAGCCAAGGAGGAGCCTGCTGTCCTCCTACCAGTGCCTGGGCCTGCTGCTTCTGCCCCTGCCTGACCCAAGACTCCTCTTTTCCTGTGGCCTCCTCTGAGCACTTCCATGAAAATTTGCAGGATGAAAGCCTGTGCCTGACTCTTGCTGTCTGTCCCTCATGGGAGGGCACAAGGTGTGTGGGGCAGAGTCTTGAGCTCCACGGCACTGATGCCCACATTTGCTGAGCACCCAGCTGTCGGAGGACACCTGAGATCTTTGTGCTTTCTGCCTATCCTGAATAAAGACGCTATGAAAAAATCCTGATGTTTTGGGGTGAGCAGAAATCACTCTTTCTCATGTAGAAAAATGCAGGAGTGCCACTTCAATGTTTCTTTCCTAATGAGGAACCAAGGTCTTAACTCTCCACGGGTGGGGCTCATGTGAGCCCTAGGTCTGCAGATGCCAATCCTATCTCTGTGTCCCGCATCCTGTCCTCTATCCTGGGACTCAGGAACTGTTATCAGGTTTAGATCAAGTCATCCTGTTCCCTCAATGATGGATAACCTACATATGTATGGAACTCAGACTTCTCTATGTGCCCAGGAAAGTAGGTAACCTGCGGTGAGGCCCCAACTTATCTACCTGTCCATACCCTGGAAGCCTGTTTACTAGCCCGGCCCACCAGAAGAGCAATGCATTAGCCCTTACTCCAGACTTTCTGGGCACCTCAGGGGAAGAACTGGGAATTGAAATGTGTAGTTTGTGCTTCCAACCTTTGAGGACAGGGAACAGGCAAAGAGGAATGCAGAGATGAGTCAAGTAAAACTTGGGACCCAGACACCTGGGAAGGTGAGGTAAATGACTACGCACACCAGAGATTCATACACTCTATCTCAACGATCTGGAGGGTCACTGCTTACAAACACAGACCATGAATTCCATGACAGTGGGGGGGGGGACTTACTACCAGCTCCTGTGACCCAAGACAGTTCCACAAATTCAGCCTTTAATGCTTGGCCCAGCCAGAAAGAGGACACCTCATGCCCATGCACTTTCAGCCCAGCTACCTGCTGCCCATCAGGCTTACTAGCCTCCACTGCTGATTGGCCAGCCTCCTGAGATTGTCACAGTCCCTATTAGCAGAGGCACCAATGTCTTCTTGAGGTGTGGCTCACAATGCTCCCCCCCCCACTTTGCCATTGTACTAGGGTACTTAGTACTGTGGGTTGTGGATCCAAGATGTGACTGTTTCCCTGCGGGGCTGTCTCCTTCGCTCTTCCCCCAGTCCAGCCTTTGAGGGGAATACTAGGGAAGATGGTATAGGTGGCAGTGCCCATCATCCTCTCTGGTTAGCTCTGTACTCGCAAATAGTCCTGAGCTACCATTAGTCTTTTTCTATCAGGCTTCTGCAATTAACCATTTCCAAAAGGGGAAACCAAGGTGAGATCTTGCTATATTTGGGCACTCGCGTGAACCCCAGGTCTGAACACACCAAGTCTGCCTCTGACTCCCTGCCCAAATATGACAGGACAGTTATCAGGTTTAGATCTGGTTACTCTGTTCCCTCAAGGGCAGAGCACTGTACAAGAGTCCCGGAGCCCGGACTCAATTGTGCCACACAGGGGCAGAGTGGGAGTGAAAAGCCACAAAGCAGACCTGGCCTAAGAGACTTGAGGCATGGAAGGGTGGCAAAATGGTTTTTGTCAACTTGAGCACTTTATAAGTTTAACTAAGTGATTCAGTAAGGAGCCAGGGTCCTTACTTTGTAAACTTCAACAGCCTGTGCAAGAGGAGGGCATAGAGGTGGTGTGTGAGTGCTTCATCTGCCCTGAGTGGAGGCGGGGGAATGTTAGCCTGCTTTCAGTATAAGGGAGGAGAAGAGGACTGAGCTTTCCCTTTTTTTTCTTATTTTGCTTTTGCTATCTTCTGTGTCCTTAAAGTGTTGCCTCTGTGCTATGACACTCTATCTTGGAGCCAGCTGATTACATACTGAAACTTCCACAAACTATGAGCTAAATAAACTTTTCTTTTCTTAATTTTGGGTGTTGAGTATTTTGTCCCAGTAATGAGAATAAAGTGACTGAGTAGTCTTTCTTGTATGAGGCTGGGAATGGCAGTGAGGTATGGCAGGGGGACTGAGGGAGATAGGAAAGGGTCCTGAAAACTGTATTCCTGTGACCCCATTCCAGTCACACTGCTCCTCCCATGAGAAGGCCTTGGGCAGTCCTTCCTTCTCACCCCTGCGTCAGATCTCTCATGATGAGCATAGGGGAGCCAAGGGGGAGAGCCTCGGTAGTCTCTAAACAAGGTTACATGCTTGATCTTGAAGCAGGGTAAGGTGACACCAGCTATCATAGCAAAGGACATGTAAAACCCAAAGTTTCAAGTAGAAGTCACATCTCTGACCCCTGAATGTCAGGCTGAGTAGTCCCCTGCCCTTTTTCTCCCAAAGTTGGTGATCTTTCTGACAGCCCTCAGACTCTAATTCCTGAAAGAAAGGGGCGAGTCCTCAGCCCCTAACCCTAGGGAGCACACAGGATTCCAGTGAAGGAGCCTGGAGACCCTCTACATGTCTGGGATATGGGGTTGGGGGCCCCATTATCTTGAATCCAAGATTTTTCCTGGGCCCTGACAATTACCTAACTTTCTGGGATATTTTCCAGGACTATCTCCAAGAGAAAGGTCTGGAGGAAAATGATCACATACAGTACAGCTGGATCTTTCAGCACAAAACCTGGCCCACTTGGCTCTCAGTATGGCCATTGACTACTCTGTGCCTTTCTATAGCATTCAGTGTCCTGCCCCTTGAGCATATTTCTGTGTGGCTCACAGGGAAACCCAGACCAGAAAGGAGCCTAAGGCTTGCTGCTATCTGCTACATGTCTGAAACCACGTGATAATCTTTCTCCTTCTTTTCAAAGCAGCAACCAAGGACATGACTTTGGCACCTAGCAAAGGGGTAGAAATGCTCCCTCTGTCTCCAGCCCAGGTACCAGTGACTACAGGCAGCTGCTTTCACCTTTGGAAGCTCAAACAAACAAAAAAAATTAGCTGCTTGGTCCCACATTATAAGCACCTAGTGGCTACATATGTCTAGTTCCTCTGCCTTCTTGGCAAACACAGGGCATCTATGGCACCATAGAGTGTTACAATGAGTAGCATTGGCCTTGAAGTTCAGAAAGTTGACCTCAGTAGATAGACTCCAAGGAAGAGGTGTTAGTTGCCCCTGAGAAAAATCAGTGTAGTTAGTTAGTTAGGAGCATCAGGCTCCTGAAATGCCCATTTTGTGTTTCAAAAAAACTCTTGCCAAGTCCAGGAGACATCGTAAGCAGAACAAGGGCAGATTTTTGAATAAGTATTTTATGAAGGATACTGGGGTTTGGGAAAATTAGTATAACCTAAAGGAGAACCGTCCTCCCTGCCCATGTACTAAATCAGCTTGAGACAGTTAGGGACCATGATGGCTTTGTGTTAGACCAACTGCGAGGATGATAAAACAAGCACCTGGGCACAGTGAACTATTTGTAGCATGCCATGTTGCAATAAACCTGCTATGCAACCCTGATTAAACCACAGAAGCAGAATATTTGCATCGGATGGGGAATTGTTACTAAGAATACTTTAATAGAGTACTTCTGGACTCACTTGCTCTTTAGCAATTTAAAAATCACTAATTTTAGAGATCATACAGCTAAGCGATATAATATTAGTGTCCCAACACTGCTGTAGATAACATCTTGATGTAGAGAGTACAGTAATGATGGCCTACGAATCTGAAGACCACTTTTGCTCATAACACTGAGTCTTCATTTGTTCCTGAGGATATCTAAGGGATGACTAAGATGGGGTAAACAGGCTGGCATCCCTGTCATTATACTTTTCTGTCTCCTTTGCTGCCTTAATCCTTGAGTCAGATTCTACTCAGCTCTGAACATAGATGTGATGATCAATTCAGAAATATTTCTTTGGAGACTATGATATAGGTTCAGCTTGGCATACTGTCCATCAAAGCTGGTTGTGCTTTTTCAGCAGGTCATGCGCTAAAAGTCCTTCAACCCTATCACAAGGCCAGGACATTTATTCAGGATGAGGCTATCATTCTAAACAGCAACCTACTGGCTCCTGAATGAAACTGACCACCTGTTAGCCCTCCATGTATAAAACTGGGATGCTTTACATGGGATGACCACACCAGATGGAAATTCAACAAACACCTACTAAGATAAGTTGACTGTGACTACTTGGATATCAAGTCCTTCACAAGAAGAAGCACATTTTGGAAGCTTACCGCTGGGCAGTGGAAATAATTGGATTTCAACTTACCCCAGCATATCAACAGGAATCTGATATTCTCTTTTGTACCGGGAACATCAGCTAGGTCACTCTCTCAAGCAATTGTTCATTCTAGACAGCTCTAATCCCTTAACTGGGCAGGAGCATGTGCCCTTGAAATGTGTGGCCCTGGTTCATATTTATTGTCTGTGTGAAAGGACCCTATGTCTGGGGTAGAAATGTTTTAAATATCACATGTTGTTTAAAGAGAAAATTAAAAGGGATATCCACCAAACCATATTCAATGCTGATTTCCACACAAATATACTAGTATCAATCAATATGGCCGTAGCATCGCCGAGCTACCATGATAGCTTCCCCTGAAGAGATGCAAAGTGAGTACACAACGGACTTGTCATATTCATTATTTTGGTGTGGATACATCTTTCTTAATTTTGCTGGTACCACAATGAATTCTGGAATATTCTTTGTAGATTTACTTCCTGGAAGTAATATCCAACAGTCCCTGGATACTTCCTAGAGGCATGTTTCAGTCCAAGTACAGCAGGTAGATCCCTTCCCTACCCTGAGACAGCACTACTTTCACTGCTTTGTCCAAGACAAAACTGAAGGGCATAATTTTCATTGAGGCTGCATACTTGCAGACACAGGCTGTGGGTTAGCAAATTGTCAACTCTCCATCTTTTCCTCTTTCCCCATTAGGGTCAACTCTAGGGAAAGCAGACACAGGAGGGTCAGTTCAGGTTCTCATCATGAACAAATGGCACCAATTGCCAAGACTGACCTCTCCATGGGCCCCAGGCAGCCCTGCACAGTGGCAACCAAGAAGCCACGCTTTCCAGCCTTGCTTCTCTTTCAACCCCACTCACTGATGCCTGTCTTTCAGGCGGACATGTCACTTGCCCCAGGCGCAACCCAGGTATTTTGAGTAGGGGAACCCAAGGTGTTCCACCATCTCCATAGACTCACTCACTGTCATTTCAACACAGCAGGTACCAGGCAGTCAGCCTATTTGATCGTTCATGATCCTTCATGATTCTTCTGCAGGACTCTCAGCAACAGACAGGAAGGATTTTGCTGGCCTTGTAGAAGCATTGTACCTGGCTAGGGATTCTGTAATTATCACTCATGTTACTCCACCTATTTCAGTGTGATTGGGAGAGAAACAAGATCATGGACCATACATCCCCAGGATCCAGCAATCCTGGGTGCTCTCAGTCTCTGTCCTGAGATGCTGGTGTCTTTGACTGGTTCCTCTGCCTAGTCTTTCCTAATCTGTTGTCCTGTAACACTGGCCCTGGGCAACCACATCATTTGCATAATGATATCCATGACCCAGGAGTCTCTGTTACAATCCTAGTTGTCACATTATCATTGGCTAGTTCCCTGGTTCCAATCTTAAGGGTTGCATGAACTTAACGGTTACTCACTTACTCTGAGTGATCTCTCTGATCTTATCACTGAAAGTTCCCATAGTGACCTAGGTCAGATCCTATCAGGGCAACCAGGTTCCTGTTTCCAGGCCCTGGTGTTTCGCAGTCCCATTCAAAACCTCAGGTTGATCCTGTTCAGAAAAGTGACCAATTGCTATGGAGAGTGTTTCTCTCACAAACATGATCTGCAAGTTACTTTTGTGGCAGCTGAACCAGGAGGGGATGCATCCTGGACCCCCCAGTACAATTGTTTTCTCTTGTCTGGCAAGTACTAACTGTACTCCCAGGCATGACTTTTTTTTTCCTCAGACACAGCCTTGTCTTCCTTCTGTTTTCCTACAGCCTGAGAGTCAGGTGGTCTGTGGTGGTCACAGGGTTCAGTGTCCATGTAGTATTACAGCACTATCACAGCTGGGACCCTCAAGGGAAAAGATTCATGCCTCTGAATTCCAGTGCTAGTGCTGCTGGAATCTTGTCTTCTGCCCTGTCCTTGAGTGTTTGTGTAGGAAATCCCTCAGACCTGGTACAGGAAAATGGGAACTTCTAGGAGGTCCCTAGGCAAAGCCTGCTGCTGTTTGGAAGAGAATTATCTGCCCTGAGCAGACATACCACACACACACACACACACACACACACACACACAGAGACAGAGAGAGAGAGAGAGAGAGAGAGAGAGAGAGAGAGAGAGAGAGAGGGAGAGAGAGCATCTTGGAGCTCCCAGGGCCCAAGTGTTAATCAAATATGCCATGGTTCTCACCAGGGTCAATCACAGTGGTCCAGGGTCTTAGACAGTGTGCATTTGTGCCCAGTGGTGGGCTACTCCCAATTTTGCATTCCCAATTCTGTATTGAGGTGGGCTGTCAGCTTCCTGATGACCTCTATGGTTGTAAGATCTTGAGGATGAGTCTGAGAAATGTTCCTGGACACAGTCTGCAGGGGTTCCATGGAGCCCAGTTCTGGATGATGGGTCTCAGAAGGGGGCCTTTGGAACACATGCTCTTCCATGATCTGGATATTTTGAATATATGTTCCCAAGTGGAATGTTTGTTTCCCTGGTTTACAGGATGACATCTACAGTTGGGTGGGGGTTGGGGTGGTACTGACCTTGTAATCGCCAGACTCTGATTGCAGGTCCTACTAGACATCAGCTGACACTTTGTGAGAACCATCCTGGGACAAACAGCCCAACCTTCCCAGTGACACTACATTTTGCCTGTTGATGTTGGGTCTGACTAACCTGGAACCCAGAACATGACACAGGGCCTTTTGTCTGCATCACTAGGCACTACCCATCTCAACCTGAGGCCTAGTGCCACTTCCTGCTTGCCTCTTTACTAGGGTAGGACAGGTCAAACCGTTGCCCACTTCCTGTGGCTGCAGGATAAAAAGGCCAAGCAAGAGGCTTAAGTAGGAGGAGTGTGGAGTCCTGCCATGGTAAGGTCCCATCACTTCTGCTCCCCTGGTGGCCCTGACCTTCTCGATCCCTTATGTGACAACAGCTCCTCCATGCCTCTCTCCTCCACAGATGCTGAGCCTGCTGTTTCTGACTCTCTGCCTCGTCGCAGGCTCTGTTGCTAAGCCCCAAGGTGAGTCTTGACCCCACATTACGCCATTGCAGAGGCCTCTGCAATCCCTGGCCTCAGGCTCCTTAGGTGTATGCAGCAGGTTGAGGGTAACCTGTCTCAGACAAGCTTCCCTGATGCTCCACATGTTACTTCTAGCACCAACCACCCAGAAAGAGCTGGTGGGCATTGTGGGGGGACACAATGCCCCCAAGGGGAAGTGGCCCTGGCAAGTCAGCCTGAAGGTGTACAACTACCACTCTTCTGCCTGGGAACACATATGCGGTGGTTCCCTCATCCACCCTCAGTGGGTGCTGACTGCTGCCCACTGCGTTTATCAGTGAGTACTACTATACAGTTCTGGGTACAATATGGGATGAATGGAGGAAGTCTGGGTGGGAATTTGGGTATGGGTGACCCAAGCTCTGACTGCACGTGGTTCTGCTCAGAAGTCCTGAGCATTGTCAGTGGTGCTCTGTGGGGACCCTATAATGAGCTGTCATTTGGCTTCTTTCTGACCACAGTAGAAATGATGACCCGTCATCCTACCGGATCCTGGCTGGGGACATATACCTCTACGGGGACCAGAAGCTGTTGAGTGTGAAGCAGATCATTGTCCACCCAGACTACGTTTCTTTTCATCTGGGTGTGGACGTGGCATTGCTAAAATTGGCAGAACCAGTGGATTGCACTGATAATGTCAAGCCCATCAAGCTCCCCTCCTCAAATCTTGAGGAATCAGAGAAGGATCAGTGCTGGGTGACAGGGTGGGGCACTGTCCTTGGGTACCGTAAGTATTGGTGTGTTTTGGGGAGCATATGAATTGTGGGACTAAATTTGCCACAAGAAAAGTACTATGAATGAAGGAGAATAGGTCCCAAAAAGAGAGAAGGAGAGACTGATGAATTCTCTATCATCTTAATTGTGTTAATTGTGCTCTCCCCAGAGCCTCAGAAGCTGAGGCTGAGGCAAGTTTGGATTCAGAACTCAATTCTTTGAAGGATGACATCTTACCTATCATTTTTTTGTAATTAAAAACAAAGCATTTGGGAAGCACCAGAAGATATACACCCCTCTTCCTTCCCTAGTCCTTCTACCTGCAGGTGGAGAGATTCACGGGTAGGCATGAATCACAGGGGGACATGGGCCATTGCATTTTTAGGTCATCCACACTGTGTTTTCCAAGGGGAAGCTAATGGTCAGGGCTGGAAGTGACCTTAAGGTGGGAACTGTCCTCAGGCCATAACCTGCACAGCTCCCAAGACGAGGCCATTCGTGGTCCAGGATAAGTGACATCTATGCACTAACACCTCTGTACCTCTTATTCTCCCCTATTCCTAGAATGGCTGCCTCCACCCTTCCGTCTTCAGGAGGTGAGTGTGCAGGTGGTGAAGAACTCAGTTTGTGAGGAGTTGTACCACAATGCCACTTGGCATTTCTTTAAGGATAGAAGGTTGATCCTGGATGACATGCTGTGTGCTGGCAACGTGGGCCGCGGGACTTGCTATGTGAGTCCCATCCTGCCTTGTTCCCTTCTACCTTCATTATCCTTGCTTCAGGGCCAGGATTCTTCATCTTCTTTCATCCCCAGGGTGACTCCGGTGGCCCACTTGTCTGCAAGGACTCAGATTCCTGGAACTTGGTGGGAGTGGTCAGCTGGGGCTATCACTGTGGCTGGGCTATTGTTCCCAGTGTCTTTGCTCGTGTTCATACCTATGTTCCCTGGATCCAGAAGCATATTCACAGTTCCTCCTGAGCCCAGGCTACTGTTCTTCACTGGTCAGCCAAGGAGAAGCTGGCTGCCCTCCTCCTAGCTTCTGCTCCTGCCTGACCCAAGACTCACCTTCTCCTCTGGCCTCCTCAGAGCCCTGGACTTTCTCAGTCACTGGCAGTGTGAAGGCTTGTGCCTGACTCTTGCTATCTGTCCCTGATGGGAGGGCACAAGGTATGTGCCGCAGGGCCTCCAACTCCGTGGCATTGATGCCTGCATTAGCTGAGCACCCAGCTGTCAGAAGAAGCCTGGGATGTTTCTGCTTTCTGCCTCTTCTGAATAAAGATGCTATGAACATTCTGTTGATGGTTTTGTATGAGTAAAAGTCATGCTTTGTTTGGTAGAAAAGCCATTTCAAGGCCTCTTTCCAAATGAGGAATTAAGGCCTTTACCCTTCACAGTTGGGGCTCACATGAACCCTAGGCCTGCAAATGCCACTCTTGTCTCTGTGTCCCACATCCTGTCCTCTACCCTGAGACTCAGGAAAAGTTACTAGTTTTAGATCCTGTCAGTCTGTTCCCTCAGTGACAGAGAACCCTACATAAAGCCTGGACCCAAACTTAGCTATGTTACTCAGGAAAGCACATTACCTTCAGTGAGACCCCAGTTTAACCACCTTCCCTCCCCATGGAAGGCTTCCTTCTCCAGCCCAGCCCATTAGAAGGGCAGTGTTTCAGCTTCTGCTCTAAGCTTCCTGGGCTTCTCGACATGGGAAATCAAAAGCCAGGGCCTTGAGGTGGCTCGCAACCCTGGTTACACTGGCTATGGATAGATGGCTGTGGCTGTCATGGGCAAGGTTAAGGAAGACCTAAGGTTACTGGAATAAGCTCTGTCTCGTGTGCCTTTCATACTTTGGCTGACCTGTGCCCAGACTTTTCTCTTCCTCCAGATGGGGCTTCTCTGACTTCCTGGAAGAAAAGGACTGAATCCTTAGATTCTATCTGCTGGGTTCTCCAGGGCCTCAGGTGAAACAGTGCAACCTCTCTATCTAGTTGGGATACAGGAGCTGGTACTCTAGTCTCTCACCTCAAGTTCCTTTACATCCCTCTAATCATGAAGCTTACTATCCTTTTTTCCAGTGGTGTTCAGGGAGCCAGGTATTGCTGACAGTAACCAAGTTCAATTTCATTGGATCTTAGACCTTCTTTCAAAACCCAGGAAGCAGACCTTTATATTCTTTTGTGGTTGCTTTAAAATAAGAAAAACTGGGAGTGACACCCATATCATTTGCAATGAGCTACATTCCCAAGCCTTTAAACAAACAAACAAACATTTATTTGAGACCTGTTCTCCCTAAGACACTAAGTTGCCCAGGTAGTATGGAATGGCAATTCTCCTGCCTCAGCCTTCCAGAGTATTGGTACTACAAGTGTGCTCCATTGCTCTTGGGTCGCTCTTTTCAAAAGCTTTTCTTTGCAATTTTCCTGCCTAGCTCCTTTGGAGTGGTATGTTGGGTGTGAGAGCGAATGGTCCAGCCAGTGCTCTGATTACCTGCTTAATGGGGAGGAATCAGGGACGATGGCTGAAGAGGCTGGGCTGGGAAACCCGAATCCCTCATTCCCTCAGAAAGGTGGACGAGGAAGGCAACTATCCATGCCCAGGATCCACGCGTACCATCCCCACTGTCAGCTGGCCTTCATTTATATAAACGCAAACCAAGAATTCCGCGACAGTGTGGGAGGTGGCTGACAAGCAAGCTCAGAGCTCAGGACTTTAAAGCCTGCGGCTCACTGTCAGCCAGAGCACTCAGCCCAGCCCACTGTCCACTCTACTAATCCCTCGAAGCTCACTATGTGCATTGGTGGCCACTACTGATTGGTGGGAACGGAGAAGAGAGTGGGGCTCGTGGTATTACAGGGGCGTGGCCTGTGGCGCTGCCAGGTCAAGGCCTGAGACAATGAAGGGCCTTGGGCTAGGTGTTCAAAGTCGCAGCCCAGGCCCCCACTGGGCTGTCACCACCACTTTCCTTCCAGTCTTCCAGCAGTCGTGGACCAGGGAGACCCGGAGGAAGGAGGAAGGGGATGGGGAGGGGGAGGGGGAGAGGGAGGGCCAGGCAGGGGCCTCTGGCGCCTCGTGGCCAGCCCTCTGCCAGTGCCAGCCCTGGGCCACCACTCTTCTTTGTTCTGTCGCGTTTCTGACTTTCCCTGTGCTTCTGACCTCACATACATGCACCTGTCCGTGGCTCTTCGACGCATGGCTGAGTATTATTCTACAGAATGGATCTACAATTTGCTGACTCACTCACAAATCAATGGACTCCTTGGTCATTCCCAGTTTGAACTCTTATAAATAAAGCCTCTTGTAAGCATATATTTTTATTTCTCTTCAATAAACAACCAATAGAAATGCAAAGTCTTACAGTATGCTTAAGTAGAGGAGAAGTTTCCAAATCGGTGCTAAAGTGAAAGGTGATACTATCAGATTCAGTGATGAGTGAGATCCGGATCCTGTCCTGTGGGGTTTCACACATCATCCTGGTGCAGGAATTCTAGTGGCAATGTGAGCATTTCACTGTGTTTGTAATTTGCTTTTTTGTAATGGCTAACGGCATTGAGCACCTTACTATGAGTTAGTATTTTATCTTTGTATATTATCATTGGTGTATGTGTAAATCCCTTCACTCACATCTTTTCTTTTAATTGCTTCCTAAGTTGCCTGTAATGTGCACTTCCAACCAAACTATTTTAAATAGTTCAATGTACCATCAAGAACTGAGACCTCACACACAGAACATGCGGATGTAGGTGAAGGAGGAGAATATGGGACAGAAGGCAGATTTTTTTAGTTCAGGAAACATTCCAGCAGGAGACAAAGAGGCCCCTGGCCATGGTGTCTGCCTGCACAGTAGGGCCAGGACTATCTGCTCTGAGCTTGGTTCTGCTGGGTGGGATTGGGAGGTACAGGGGCACCCACATATATACTATCTGAGCAGGAGGGAGAGGCAAAGCCAGGGCCCCACCTGCATATTAGCTGGGAAATATTACCTTCTTTTGTTCTTGTGGACACCAGGCCCAAGTGACCAGTGGCTGGTTTGAAGACAGACCATAGCAAGGCAGCATGGGACCCTGACTACAATCCCAAATCTTTTTTACCTACAAGGTGAGGTTGGGATCTATGCCATCCCTTCCATTGTTTCCTAGGGAGGCACATCCTCCTCCACCTTCTGGAGCCCATGTTTTGGGGTTCCTCTGGAGGGTCCTAAAGTGAGATTCAGACAGCTTAGAGGAGATAGCTCAAAAGTTCGTGATGGGCCAGGCATAGTGGAACATGCCTGTCATCCCAGCACTCGGGAGGCTGAGGCTGGAGGATCACTGCGAGTTTGAGGTCAGCCTGGGCTACAAAGTGAGTTCAAACCCGGCCTGAACTGCATATTGAACCCCTGCCTCAAAAAAGACCCAAAAAAAAGTCCATTATGACCCATGTTCTGCTTAAGACTTAAGACTTTAAGACTGTCCCTGCTTCACATCTGTCTTCAGGGTACATGGTTTGTAACACAAGTCAGATGGACAGAGGCCCCTAAGCAGTCAAGGCTTCCTGTTTTCTGGGTCTTTATTAATCAAGCTGATTAGAAGCCCTGGGAAGAGCCTGAGTTTTTTCCCCAATTCAAATTACAGTCTGGGCTTGGAGAATCCCATTGCGACCTTCAGGTCAGAGATTTACTTTATATGTGAGGAAACTAAGGCACAGAGCAAAGTTGCCTGATCACCCACCAGGATAAGCTTACAGGGAACTGAGTTGGTCTCCTTGCCAGCACCTGGACAGTAGCTCAGACACATGTGCTAAAATTTTCACCCAATGCCACACACTTTTTCCCCGTATGTGAGACCTGGACTCCACATGTATGAATCAGGGCCCTTCCTCCCTCAGATGATTGTCCCTGGGAGGTGCTGCTGAGAGAAGGAGGGACTCAGCCAGTTACTCAGCACAAAGCCAGTGGGGAGAGACCCCAGTTTTCCCCAGCCCATTCTGCCCCTACCTGGGACCCAGAAGCATGATATCACCAATAGAGTGGTGGGAGCAGATCCTAAATCCCACCATCCAAGGGCATTCCCATATTCCCATGGGCAGGGGGACCTCAAAGCTACTTACCTGCAGCACTGGATACCCTGTCTTTCCACTTGCACAGTTACCTGGCTCCCTGCAAAGCCCTTGACACTTTCTGGTCCTAGGAGGAATTGCTGTCAAGAAAGACACTGAAAACCACCCCATTCAGCTCCCTGGGAAACATTGTGATTGGTGCCCCTTGGTCCCAAACAGGACTAAGGGTCTAATCTGGTACTCATTTATTCCTGTGAATGGAGCTGGGACTAGAAAGGCTGGGTGCTTCAGGGAATCCCCAGTGCATCCTAGCCCAGCCCAGCTGTGAGGCTTAGACCTATAGCACTGGGATTCTGGAGTCCAATCCTTTTCCCATGGAGTGTCTATCCCTCTACTCCACCCATCACACCATTAAATAGGCACGGGACTGTTCTGGAAGACATTACCCTAACAGTGGGCAGTAAGAACCTCTGGAAAGTGGGTTAAAGTTGGAAGAGAGAGAATTTGTAGGTTTTACATCTGTGTACTAAATGTGTCAGGAGTTGGTTTTCACTGGACTCCAATCAGAGTGGGGGTCTGCTGGTACAGAGTACAGCTTGGTTTCTGGTGCTCCTCTGTCCCCATCCTTGGGCTAGTTGTAAGAACAAAAGCATGGAGGGGGTGCAGGTGAAGGACTTGAAAAGCATCGAGATTTTAAGTCCATTGTTTAGGAGTCTGGGCTGACACCAAAGTCAGCTCTGGAAGGATAATGTGATTAAAGAGTGTAAGAATTCCATACTAACTAAGATTTTAATCTAAAAACAAATACTTACATTTCATGTACTTTAATGAGACACAGTGACCAGGAGGATTAGTGCTTGCTACAAGCTACCTGGGCAGTGGAGGGATGGAAGAGTTGGAGAGATAGCAGAGGTGGGAGTACAGGACAGGGGAGGTGGCTCAGGGCAGGACACGGAAGGTGGAGTGAGTGCCACCTGGCCAGGAGGTAACATGCTGGGGACAAGAAGGGGTTCTTCTCCCCTGGTGAAGGGGAAGCCCTACCAACCCAGCTCAGAGGTTATTGGGAATGGAGAGCAGATTCAGTCCAGACAGTGATTTATGCAGTGGTAGATGGCAGGCTGGTTGGGCTGAGCATAGCTGTCATCATAGCTAATTGCACCTGCCTGCAGCCAGGTGGGGAGGACAAGCATCAGCACTGGGGGGTAAGACCCAGGAAAGTGGGTAGATTCTGGGGATGAGGGACTCACA